TACGAAAAAAAGGCCAATAAAAAAACCAAGAAAATAAATTTCAGTGCCTACATGTATGTACCAAAAAAAAGTGAAACTCTCTTTTTTAATTCAGTTTGTAAACAAAGACCTATAATTGAATCAAAAGATTTTAATTTCATTTCAGAAGAATGGAACTTCATTTTGAATCTGGAGGATGAGGATCCAGAGTGATGATCAAGTTTGAGAGTGACAACATTGGTTTATAATCTACTATGATGTATCTGTGCTGGTTACACCAGAGCACCTGTCAGTGGAAGTACTGAGAACTTGAAAATATTTCCATACACTAAATTAAAATTGCTTGCATGGAAAACCGAAATTCAAATATTTCTGGATTATATGCACTGGAGTGTGCAGATCCAATCATGCATTGAATTTTCTGTTATTTTTGAGGCTTCTCGATGGAAAGATGTTTTTCTAGAATATAACCCTAGAGCCACAAATCTTACATAGCATTTTAAGTGTTGGAGCTAGTTGATAACCATTGTGACATTACTTTTCAACTTGACAGCAGTTTGCACAAATTTTTATTGATGAAGAGGTCCTTATGAAAGATTAAGCATGTTAATATCTTTTTAATGTGCATATAGTTGAACTTTCAGGTAACATCGCAATTTTTTTTTCTGTCTTCAGGAGTATGTAGATCATCATTGAAGAACAAATGTTTACTTGATTGTGTAATTAATGTAAGGAAACTGTTATGTAAATTGTCATCTGTAAGTTGTTTGTTTTAAGTTTTCAATTAATAAAGTTTCATCAATAAAATGTTTATGTGTTGTAGATTTTGTTTTATTGTATCTTTCCTGCAGTAAGATTCTGCCTGGTACCCACTGGTATTGATAACGCTCTGGCATATTTACCAAACATTGCTGTTTCAGCAATATGTATAATGTCCACTACCTGACATCTACAGTTTGTTTGCGCTTTTGGTTTGCTACAGGATACGTACTTAAAGTGAAACATTCAGCACTTGTAGGCTGGAAATGATACAATGACACAAGTTTTCTCTGATGTTTACATTTTCATTAATGAATAAGATTCATATTGAGTCACTTTGTTTTTTTAAAAGTCCAAAACATTTTTTACTGTTGCATAAGTTCCATAAAGTTTTTTTAAATGTCGAAGGTGTTTATAGGAAATGAGCCCATGACTATAATATCCTTGTCTCAATGATTATTAGTATGGTTTATATTTCTTAATGTCCAATCAACAGCCAAAGTAATTTAAGGATGAACTTCTTATATATGTGTTAGTACTAAACTGAAGCCGACTTTATAGTGCTGCTATACTGAATTATACTGCCCAAGGCCCCTCAGCAAGACAATCCACCTGATCACATCATACTGATAACAGGTAAATCAGTCACTATACAACAACACTTACTATTAAGGAGGAAGTAGTAACTATCTGATATATCTGGGATTGAAGATAATATGAAGCTTTCATCACAAGGGCGAATGCTCAACCAAAGGCCAAAAATAGTGAGGCATTGTCAAGAGAAACATTAGGAAGAAGAGGGATCTTTAGAAATGAGAGAAAACAAAGATCTCAAGTTCAGTCCCCTGTTATGATCCTATAATGGGAATATTAGGTACAATTCTTGCGCCCCACCTGCAAGGGTTCACTGACTTAAGAAGATTCACAATTGCATGTAATTATTGTACAGGTAAGTTTCCAGGTAATTTCTGGCACAAAGGGTAATACAATTGTTAGTAACTGCTTTACAAGGATGTGATCTTTATAAGTTTTTTACAGTAGTAGTGTGATTATTGTCCAGTAATGACGGCATTGTCTAGTGTTAACAATACATGTTTCTACCTGTATATGTTGATTGTTGTAATCAACAATGCATACCAGTGCTACTGATGTATTTACTTTCACTTGTAGATACTTTAGGATATATATACATCTGATTGTTTCATAGCCTGGATTACCTGCCATAGCTACAACTCTTCTCCACTAGATTGCACTCATTATATTTTCGAAGGGGGTGTAGATAAACAACCGCGGGCAATCCAGTGTACTTGTCTTCCTATGTAGAAGTTAAGAGTACGGGTTGCCTTACTAGTCTCAGCTAGTGGGAATATCGAGAGGTAGAGTGTCTGGCTAGAGACCGAAGGCTCACTAGTTCGAACCCCAGCAGTGGCAAGGTATTTTTCATTACTACCTCCTTTTACACATACTATTCAAATCGCCGTGGTCCGTGGTTCATCCATCCATCAATAAACGTTTTTTTCATCACCATTTCTTGAGAAGCATCGGATGGTTCTAGTTATGCTAGTTTGATTTTTGGACTGATCAGAAAAACAAAATGGCTGACAGGCGGCCATCTTGGATATTTTCAATGAAGATCGTCATTGCTATTTCTTGAAAACTATTCAATGGATCTCTCTTAATTTCCTGTGTAGATTCCCATTTCTCCTCGGTTGTGCCCGTTGTATTTTGGGACTGATCAGAAAACCATATAGGCTGACAGGCGGCCATCTTGTATTTTGACTTTGAAGGTAAAATATTGGTATTTCTTGACAATTACTGTATAGACCTTTCTCAAACTTCATGTATAGGTTCCTCTTGATCCCTAGTTGCGCCCATTTGGGGCTGATCAGAAAAAAAACAAAATGACTTCCGGGCGACCATCTTGGCATTTGGCAGGTAAAGATTATCATCACTATTTTTGCAAAGGAATGTTCAAATTTCTTATCATTAAGAGCAAAATTAGAAAAAAGAAAAGATTAAACTTTCAAAGAGCAAATAAAGATGAAGCCATGGTGGACACCGAGATCGCTCTGGGATGTTTTGTTAATCAAAAGAATGTAGAGCCAAGGAACGAAACAGACGTTGTCTATCATGTATCTAATTAGAGATAGCCGCCGAAACATGTAGACATATTCCACAAAACGGCCTTGTAGTGTTGAGTTATCTTTTTACTTTACCATGTTTTCTTGTGAAGGAACTCATGTCCTATACGGGTCCACCTGAGGACGCTATCGCAGAGTTCCACATGAGAAACACCCTTTATCTATTATTCTAGCTTTCCTCGTGATTTGTAATGAAAGATGTCATTATTTCATGAAGTTCTGTTACTTCTTGTTATTTGTAACGAAAGGTGTCATTACCTCATGAACTTTTCTCGTGATTTTTTAAAATGAAATGATTAATTCCCGCTATTTGAACGTGCGAGTGATTGGATATTGAAACTTTAATGTGTCATTCCAACTCAATTAACTTAAAAACGTGTTGATTCAATTTCTCTTTGACAATGATATGTTAATGGGGTTTTACCTAATGACGTCATCGATCATGCAGAGGTCGCTTAACGTTCCACGTAACGAAATGCCTTGTCTAATTCTGTCTGTAAATCTTCCTCTTGTTTATATCATGCATTAGATTCACAGATCTTGACTTTTTTCTTTTTTGTATTTTCTTCATTCCATTTTTTAACAAAAACGCAATTTCACATTTGTTCTTTAATCAGATAGCATCTATGTAGCTACGAAAGAGAAGTAAAGAACCAACTGATGAGTGGGTTTGCCACGTAAATTCGTAATCACACGAATGTTGAGGGAACACTTCAGCCACAAATTGTAAAGGATTACAGAAAAGACACATCAGTAAATTGTAAATATGTTAGCATTACGCTTCACGCTATCTTGATGCTGAATAAATCGCTCTGATGCAAACAAAACAACATTGCCAGCTTTAGTTTTATTTTTGCTTCGGATACAAATTTAACGCCTTACAGTTTCGGTATATTTAGGTTGGAAATAACATGTTTTCTTTAAGCCATTACAGTGTCAATGTTTCAGAAGACGAATATTTTTGTAGGCGTAAAAGTCCCAACATTTTTGTACGCGATGCAGACCACGCACTCTACAGTATTACACAAGACAGTTTTGATGTTTTCTTCTGTACACACCTTTCTTTACGTGTACATCAGTTATTTTTCCAATTGGCATACTTTAAATGTTTCTCCGGTCAGATGTTTTGTCTATATATGTAGATGTTGTAATCCTATCTTGCTGGTTCCTTACATTCACATACACAGGTTATGGCATACGTAAGTGGATGATCGAGTACAAATATCGGTGATTGATTACATAAACGGTTTGCTAATTACATACATGGTTGATTGATTACATAAACGGTTTGCTAATTACATACATGGTTGATTGATTACAGATGCGGATGGTTGATTATAATGTCTGGCTGTTTTTTGACAGTTTGGGTATATCTAGCTTAATATCGCCAAGACATCTGGGTTATATATTTTTGTAATCGTTACACACGTTTTTTCAAGCAAAGGCAGTTTCATATATACGAATTGGTTTTCATACATACGATTTGGTTTTCATACATACAAACTGGTTTGCATACAAACAAATCGGTTTGTAACACACGATTTGGTTTTCATACATACGAATTGGTTTGCATACATACGATTTGGTTTGCATACAAACGATTTGGTTTCCATACATACGAACTGGTTTGTAACATACGATTTGGTTTGCATACATAGGGATTGGTTTGTAACATACGAATTGGTTTGTAACATACGAATTGGTTTGCATACATACGATTTGGTTTGCATACAAACGATTTGGTTTCCATACATACGAACTGGTTTGTAACATACGATTTGGTTTCCATACATACGAACTGGTTTGTAACATACGATTTGGTTTTTAACATACGAAGTATTTGAATTGAATAAGTATGAATACTACTTACAGTAAATCGGTCATTCAAGACATGTTTTTTCTATAAGCGAATATTTGTTTTATAATAGGTAATTGTTCTAAAACCAATTTTATGGCGAGGTAAAATTTGATATGCACTGACAAGAATGTAAAACCAGATAAAAGTTGTGAGAAGTCTGATTACGTCGCAGACAGGTTCATAGTTGGTGATGTTGAATACGGGGTCACTGTTGATGAAGTTTAGATCATCATAGTTACAAATAAGGAAGACGAGGTGAAATTTGAATGAAGGCGAGTTCATAATGGATGATCTTGAAAAATAGTCGAAGAAGTTAAAGAAAATGCCATAACTGATGCAGGTTTTCACAGTCACAACTTTGATGTTAAAAGCGAGGTAACAGCTGAAGGGTATTTTATCGAGGTCAAAGTCGATGTTGATAAAGACGATGTTATATTTCGATGTGTTCTCACAGTTGTGGAAATTAAAGGCGAGGTCACAGTTGATAAATGTAAAGGCAAAGTCACGGTTGGTGACATTGAAGGTGAGGTCTTGGCCGATATCTTTGAAAATGAGGTCACATTCGTGACCGAAAAGGCGGATTCACAGATAATGACGTAATGTAAAGGTCACATTGGCTAACGACGAAGGCAAGGACACAGTCGACGACTTTTAAGACGAGGACACAATGATGTCGAAGATAGTTTCACAGTTGATGACGTTGAAGTAGAGGTCACATTTCATGCTCCCGAATGGGAGGTCACAATTTATGATGTCGAAGGCAAGGTCACAGTTGATGACGTTGAAATAGAGGTCACATTTCACGGCGCCAAATGGAAGGTCACAATTGATGATGTCGAAGGTGAGGTCACAGTTGATGACGTTATGTAGAGGTCAAAATTTGATGACGACGAAGGCAAGGTCACAGTTGAGGTCGTCGAAGTCGAGGTAACAGTTGATGGAATAACATTGATGAGCTTACTTTAAACCATTATTCCCATTCCCAGTATTCCGTACGGTTCCTACATAGACATATCGACAACACTATTCCTAGTATCTGAAATCAAAGGTAGAAAACACCGATACATCACCAACTTTTAATGACTGAAGACACTTCTCTAAAACAAATAATGATCACTTATTAAAAGTTAGTGTCATATTTTGTTTTTGAGCGTTATCATAATGATAACAAAGTAGTTATGTGGTAAAGGTTCTCATCTATATTCGTAATAACGACAATTCTAAATTAAACAATTTTGACTTTACTTACAAAATTAAAGTATAAAATTTTGTTAATCCTCTAAATATACAGCAAAAATAATTCACTCCTAAAAATGTTTTTGAAATAAAAAAATGATTTAAAAAAAAACTTTCAGTAGTTAGATGACGTACCGCTAATAAAGCCACACCTATAAGCACTCCAATCAGTATAGCACTATTGGTGTGTATCATCTTCATTATCTTATCATAGCAACCCTGTAACATAGAAAAGTTAGAATATCAACCTGATGCTGTGATCGCAAAAATATCGACAAGAAAGCATAAGTACATTATTAGATTAAAAATAATAAGAAAATACTAACATGTGAATATAAACAAAATCCAAACCCGAATTCAATAAAACCAGGCTAAAATATCAACAAAACAAATATTTACACGGAGACTCCTGAACAGATCCATACTTCCATACTTCTAGTTGGGACATCTAAACTGGATAGAATATGGCATTCTGGTAAAACCATAATGGTTTTGCTTTTTTTTACCTTACGACAGGAGACGGAGGGGAAGGTGAAAGCTGGTAAGGCTTGGAAATTTTCGAATGTTAGAAATTTTAAAAGCTTGATTTTATTGAGTACGTAATATTGGAAAAATATTTTTAAAAAATGTCTATAAAGAACTTGATCGGCGTATTTTTGTTTTATTTTGACAAAGAATTATTATTCATATGTTGAATTATCAACTGATAAATGTCAGAAACATAATTAATGTATTTTATTTATGGTATTTTCGTTGGAATACTACTTCATCGTATTATTACCGCTGTTCGCAACTGTGTTGTCTTTTCTGTCATCATCTTCCGAGCCTCATTCTGACATGTTCGCCGGTCCTTGTCAGATATTTTCGCGTTGTTTACTTTCACTGCCACGCAGCAACTGTCCGGAACGAGCCATTCCTGTAAACACATACAAATAATACTGTACAGTTTATTAGTTTTGTAGACGAAGTAAATCGCGACAAAGGATAACTTAAAAATTAAACTTTCATAGAAAACTAAGTGGATTTTCTTTTTTCCCCTTCAAACACTCAAACAGTCTTTAACAGTTTAAAAAGTAGGTAACATTCCGTTGAGAAATTGTTATGAAATGTATTGTTCATTATATTTTATATATCTTCCTGTAAATTCATATATTTTGCGTGAGGCTCAATTTACGTAGTTTTTCACAAATTCACATTTCAGGAATTTTTGATTTCGTGGTGAATATTGCTCAGTAAATCTACTTTCACTTATATCTTAACATTTCGTGAACATGTGAATTCGTGAATTAAAAGGACTCGTAAAATCAATGAAAATATATTCCCCATGAAATAATCATTCTGATACCAGATCTCTTTACAAACTTTAATCTTAAAGAGAGATATTGACAAAAAAAAAAAAAAAAAACGAATTTACCATTCTTGTTTGTGCTGGTAAATTTTGAGCATAGAAACTGGAGTTGAATTCGGAATAGTTTTGAGAGCCGCAACAATCAAACTGAAAAAGAAATGGAAATAAACATTTGGATGATTGTAATAATTTGATATAGATATTTAGAATTAAATTAATTAAATTAAATTTTAGAATTTAAATGTTGGCGAAACTTTCACTGGATACGGCATGTTGTAAATCTGTGAATACACCGCTTGTTTTGATAATAAAAGATTTTGGTTTATATGGAATTGCATCTTTATGTGTGATGGCGTTCGTCAATATTTAAAAAAATTCTGTTTGTTTCGCACGTGTTTTTGTTTGCAGATATGTTTGTGTATATACTGTTTTTGTTACAGATATTTAGGTACAGAAGATGCTTATTGTTTATGCCGTGTCGTGTGTTCCGTATTGTGATCTTGCATAACTGAACCGTTTTGACTTGGTAACTTATTTTGCATGCCACGGTGATGTCGATAGGTTGATATAGCATTAATAGAGCTGATCACTTCTATGTGATGTTGACAATAAACTCTAAATCCGAGGGTAATGTTTTATTTCCAGACTCGGACTGTAATCCGTCTTTCAATTCCTACATTAAACATCGTCGTTTCATTTTCTCAGACATACTACTATCCCCAAATTACCACGATTTAATGTAATGCACCATCAGTCTTTCATCTGATCTGGTACAAAACCATGTTTGCCTGGAAATTTCAAGAGACAACACAAACGAGAAAAGATCCAGTCATGACTTAATGTGGAGTAACTATAGCCAATATGAATGTAATTTGATAAACAGAATGATGTCCGTTAGGAAAAACTGACGCCGTTTCATTGTCCTGTGATCCAGAATGAATCTGTCCTCCTGTGAATACATTTCAGATTGACACTGACCTCATAGGAGACCATGATACAAGAATAACGTAATGAATTTCAACACACATTCCACTGACAAACCTCCAGTATATTGTGACTGGAAAGTGTGGTAAACAAATCACCTCTATGTGCTGTAGACAGGGTTATCACAAGCCTTATGTTAAACTTCGGTTAATTTTGTTCATATCACACAGCGAAGTGATTTGATCTTTACCCTAGCCATAATTGGGAGGTAAAATTGTCTTTATATGAGAGCTTTTGATTTGATGTCGTTCAGGTATTTATGAGTTTCACATACATACCTGAATCTGTAAGAAATCCATCGTAGAATTTCCGGGATCAGTGTAATTTCGAACTTGTGCTGATAAATTATCATCAAACATCTGTTCAAGCTGAAATAAATATTACATTTCAATGTGAAAACTTCTGATACATACCAAGTACCTACACAGTTCTAAAATAAAAAAAATAAAATACAAATATATGTTTTAGGCGGTTTTCTGTAAAATCATTAATTTTTGTGGGGATTTATTTTCAAGGTACCCTTGATATACGAATTCATATATCCGCGAACTGCCATGTTTAGTATAATTACATTTATAGACTTATATTCATCAACAAAATTAAATGCCCTTGAAATAGTGATTATTTTTAAAACCACGAATATTCTGCTCCACTAAAAGAAAGGATTTTGCAGCAGGTGATGCTGTCAGATCTTCATTGTGATGATATGCAATGTACTGGAGTTTCATAAGACACAATTCAACTAACAAACCTACACATTTACAATAAAATTAGCAACGAATCTTATTAGGGTTAAATGATTGGTAAAGCATGTTTAGGGGGGTCACAGTATGATATCATTTTGTCATTTTGGCGGATATTTTTTCTTCTGCTCACCTTTGACTTACATTGGATTTTGAAATAACGTGTTAGTGATATATAAGAAATCACAAAAAGAAGTATACAAAAATTGCGGCATCTTTTACAATGGTGGACCAATTTATCGCCACTCCTATCTGCTTTATGTTTCTTATTTTACTGATGTTTATATAACACAAGCAAACAGAACTATACTGTATGGAGACAGTCATGATACATTGAGAAGAGTCAGCACTGAAGGATTGACGGAATACAAGTACTAGATAGTGGATAAGGTAAGCAAATATGATTTTTCAAATTGAAAATAACATTTAATTTATGAGAATTTTCTATTGTAAAACTGTTTAAAGTTTATGTATTATCTATCTGTTTGCAGCATTCACACGCTTAGTTAGGTAAAGTTGAAATACGATAATGATTGGCTTATCGTCTAAAGTGAAATCTTTCTTATCCGTCATTATGTGGTATATACCGCATAGTTGATTATTTTTGCGAGAATATTTTCGCGAATTCGTGGTATATCAGCTTGATCACAAAAATTGATCTGTGAAATAATGAGGCAAATATGCATTAAATACGACTTAACATCCAGATCGCGAAATTTTAATTGGTTATAATATCATTCGTCTGTTAAAGAAGAAAAAATGCAAAAAAATGAACCGTGAAAATTATAAGCTACCTGTATATGGATTTGACTGAAAGTCGAAATGATCAGGTATCTGATAAAGAGAGATTCTGTATATTTCAATATTACTTATAATTTAAGTAAACATTTGACATTGTTATTCGTATGTCTGTATATCGATTCATCTCAAAGGTTGGAGTACTTGTTAAACAGTTTTACGTACAACTTACAGTATACTCGCCGTTTCGATTAGCCATTCGAGGGGTCTAGAGAAAGGCAATTAAAGATAGCATAGAGGCAACAGAGAAAAATCATTATAACAATAGAAAGAGGTATGAGTCAATGTATGGAAACGTCATATTGAAATCATATGTTGATAAGTAATAAATAGTCTTATGTAATATCTCTGGCATGAACAAACATTAATATCACATTATACTTAAACATGTGTTATACCGCTGAAACGTGCAAATCGCTGATTAGTACTGATGTGTACTCGGTACAAAGAATTATTTTGGGAAATCGCCAGGCTTTGTGCAAAACTGCTGGATATACAAAATTCGTAATCCAAACATTTCTTACAGAATATGAAATAAATTGTTTAAAGTCATACAAATGTTATCCATGTATTGACTTTTCTTACCGTCGGGCGTTTCAGGTACATTATATATTTCTCTTTAATATCTATTTTATTTGTATAAGTATCTAATCAAAGCATTTAACATTAAATAACGTATCAAATCGTGTTTCATAATGGTCTTATTTTGTGACTATGGAGGACATCTGACTTTTTAACATTGTTATCCCTTTGAAACCCCTTCTGTTTGATACCTCCGACTGCTCATGCGCTTCGTGGGCCAGTGCCAATGTCGCTATATACAAGTCCGTACCAATACGAATGATAAAAAGTAAATATAATGTACATCGTAAGCTTGTTTCATATCATATTTATTTATACAAAACACAACAGAATTATCTTCTGTACAACGTTTTATGCAATACGTAACATGACGTAATCCAGACGCAGCTAAAACTATCTACCACGTAATACCTCTCGTCATGTCATGTTGAATGTATTTACCCTCGCTAAGTGGGACCCTGGCACTGTCTTTTGCTGAGATTAGGCGTCAGTTGTATATAATCCTAGGTTTATAGTACCCCGAGTAATTAACAGCACGAGTTCCATTAACATAATATCGAATACTATTGAGCAGGCCTATTGACAGATATATGACAACGTGGCAGGGAAGTGTGACCATTAGTTCAACCTAGAGAAGATACAAAGTGCGAAAAACAACTGACGGCTATCATTGTCTTAATAATTACAAGTTAGTCCGTAAACATGCCAACAGCTGTAGACAGTAGAACGGTCGTGAGATTGTTAAAACTAACTGACAATGGCTTCAGCCGTAATGGGAAACACTTGTGGGTACCGAGGTGATGGAAAGTACTTGCGATTACATTGCTTTCCCAATTCTTGTTGTAAGGTATTCTCTGATTGGTTGCTGTGTATATGACCTGGGTTCCAATGGTAGCCATGACAATGCCAACACTCAAAGTTATTTTTTTTCGCAACCATTTTATAAAAAAGGAGAAAAGTTTATACAAAAGCATGGAAGAATTATGTTAATGCTTTATTTTGTTATTAACAGTGAGGTAAGTAGGGGTGATTGCATTATCATACTCTGGTTATATTTAGCAACCAATCAGAAACGATCTTATGGAAACAAAACAAAAATAAAATACCGACACGTCAAACAGGTTTTAATCAATTATGTTTTTGAACTAAAATGAATAATTTGGATTTCATTACTTTTCACCTTAAAACATATTTATATTTTCAACGACTTTGAAAAAAAATGTAAGTCCGCTGCAATGAAATTTTAATTACGAGTATATCAAAATCATATTTAACAACAGTTTTGTACAATTCGTTTGCACAGTATCATTTGATTGGGTACAGATCTCGGTTTAATTCTCGCCTTAAGCTACTGCATTTGATGTACGCCCCTATTTAACAAGAGACTATATGACAAGAGCTTAGAAATGTTGCATGTATTATTATGTTGTTTGTTTACAAAATTGGATGGCAAATTAATTGTGCAATAACAAAAGAGTTAATATCTTTTTTTTTTCTTTTTAATTTTTTTTAGTTTTACTTTACCATGACCCGATCATTGTTTTATCATATCCCTTCCCCAACCTCAAATGAGAAACATTCCCAAGCATTCATTGTATACCTCAATCTTTCTAATAATTATGAAATGAATTGGAAAAAAGACTTAAATATGTGTATTAAAAACATATCATTACATCGCATCTTACCAACAAAAAACCACTAACACACAGTCCGTCGGATGGGACTTAAAATGGTAGTCAGTGTGAGAATGTCCACTCTCATGATAAAGATCCATTTCTAGCAATATAGATTGATAATTAGGTAATTTTGACGGACTTCCACTTTTGCTGTGAGGCGTTTAGTTAGTGTAGGCGGGGGCTATACTTAGGACAAGGGAGTCGTCTTTAAAAATATAACAGATCAGGTATTTATAGACGGCCTCTCTTTACCTCATCTCTGTATTCCACTCACTCCCATCATTCTATACTGTTCCCTCTATACTCATCTTCCTATCTTTTCTCGTCTGCCGAAATATTGGATGTCAAACCCGTTAGATAAATAAATAACATTCCGATAAATCATTCATAGTATTATTGATATTGCCTTTAGAAGTGCCACGAATATTAAGTATTAATTAGACATTTTGATTCCGCAACTTACATTTGTACGTTCCACGGCGAGATAAACTCCTGCCGCTATCTCTCCGAGGATGACAACAGTTAGACACCCAATGTACTGTAACAGGAAAGAAATATCTCATATGACAGATGGTGAACACATATAGAGATCAGCTATGTCCTAAATATAGAAATATAGAATACATTTCAATGACATATAGGTCAATTTTACTATGTTTAATCAAATCCGCAATGTATATTTTTTCTATGTCGTGATGAAAAACGCTAAATCAGAAATTCAAATGTGTGATATTTTTATAAACACTTAACGAAAGCAATTGATGGTTGTGACGTGACGTCGTTGTTCACTTTGCGAATTGAAATTTTCGCAGACTAGACATATCAGACTGTTCCTTTAACAAGTCACCAGTAGTGGAATCAGCCTGTTGCGAAATAAAAACTCGAATTAGATGTTTACATTCACCTACCACAGCCAGCATACAGGCACTCTCTCTAATGGCTCCACAGCAGCCACAGAACCCGGTGACAAAGATAAAGGCCCCGACGGCAATGAAGACGTAAGCGGCGGCAAACAAAACGTCGATGGGGAGATTAATATGTACAAACTGCTTCAACGTATCTTCAACCTTACTGTCTACTCTGACCCAGATACCCAGTCCAAGTAAGGCGCCCCCAGACACCTATAACGTGAAAAAAGCCCAAGCACAAATATATGATTACAAGCAACGTATTCAAATTATCATTAACGCGTCTAAGGAGCATTAAAAAAGAACTTATGAAAATACTTTCAATGCTGTTATTTTAAGAGTGTCTCGTTTATCAAATTGTTCATATATATTTTTTTTCTGAGGTAGGGAATGGGAACGAGGAGAACTAAACTGCGAAAAATAAATCCTGTGAAAACAAGAAGAAATATCCGCAATTTGCTACAGGTTTTTGGTCTGTATATAATCAAACAACCAAATAAACGCTAAATACCATATACTGCATGTTTGGTCATTTTTGAGGATGGAATTACATCGGGAAAATAGACACCTTGAAAATTAAAAAGATAAAGAAAACCATCTTAACACTTCTGTGAAACATACATCGCTACTTTAATATTTTGGTAAAACCACGAGAATTTGCACCGTCGAAAATAAAAGTGCTTATACAAATGGCGATATCGTGACATCCACGCGACACTTACATGATAACAAAAAAGTATACAAACATGAATACAACACAACCCTGTACAGGTATATGACATTTTTTGTGTTAACATCGGAGGGAACAAAATAAATGGTTACAAACATGATCCATTAACCAACCCTCGCAAGACGCTTACAGACAGACAGACACCTGTAATATAATGCACATGGCAATATATACAAATAGGTACAAATGTACCACTAAGTGCCAATACCAGCAAAAACAACGAGAAAATAACAACTTGTAAACATAATCATAATCTTGTGCAAAGTATGAACAAATGAAAGATTTCCAGGCAGATTCTTGAAAAAGTATAAGGGGAATAGGACCAGACGTGCTTGAAGTGTTGCGTCTTTTGCTTCATCGACTAAACCTGCCACAAAAATCTTGGCCAGTCAGAGTGATGTCATGTTCTCAAAGAACAGGCATACCAACAAGTTTCTTTGAATAAATGTATACAAACGAGCCAAACCATATACCATTTCCCATTACACGACTTTGTGACAATCACAAAAAACATGCAAACATGGTAATCTGACGTTAAAGTAATATCATAAGCGGTACTGTTAACAATTATTGAATTTCTAAAACAAATCTTAGTAGTCAATTAGTTAAGGTAACGAAAATAACAACAATCTTCATTTCAGTCCCTGAACATTTCCACCTTAGCTCGATGGCATTGTACAACTTGGAGTTAATAAGATATGTTTTATGGTGATCACATTGGATTTCGGACAGATCAAAAAAATACCAACACATGTTTGATAAGGACAATCTCAGGGTCATTTCAGGCAAGTTTGAGCTAACCCCCACTTGTGCAAATGAGTGAAAAGAACTTAAAACAGACTTTTACGCACTATGGACGACAACGAATGAAACACGAAGGCATAAATATACTTAAAGATTCGTTCAACTACAAATTATACAATATCATTCAATCATGTACTCCAACAACAGGTCCTAAATATCTGCACAAACACACACATAAGTGCTTGCCAACCTATTCAATCATTTGCAGAACAGCGCAATGGCCAGCCAGGTACATGTAGAAGTTGAGAGTCGAATCTGTTTTCGTAGTGTTGGTTAGTAAAGTGTCCTGATAGAGACTGAAAGGTCGCTACTTCGAACCCAAGCGATAGCGGGGCATTATCTTTTACTCATTCTTATTACAGATTTAGTGTCGTTGACTACCAAAAGGGTAGAATCTATATGAGACCAAGGTGCTTCCTTACTAGTCTTGGCTGGTGGGAATTTCCCGTAAGTCGTGTGGTAGAGTGTCCAGCTAGAGACCGTGAGGTCCCTAATTCGAACCTAAGGAATGGCAGGGTATTTTCCATTACTCCTTCCTATTACATACCGATTCAACATTTATATACACCACAAGACATCTAAACAAACAAACTCGTTCTGTCTATTTCTTTTCTAACAATACACTTCAAATCATTTAATATGTAAACATACCGCAAATGTATAGTAACCCGACAATACTCCAAAACATCTGTTCATATAAGTACTCTTCATTATACAAACATACAAAGAAATACTAACAATCGATCACTCCGACCTTTCAACGCAAGGGACAGTAGGTTCGAATATAACACTAACTACCATGTGCATCCTCAACCACGCGTCGCAGTCGTTAACAAAAAAGTCAACAGGAAACAAAAGTGAACTGTTTACAAAATTCGTATACAGATAATATTAGATATGAAAATTCGCAAACAAATAAACAAAATAAGTAGAAACATTGTTTACCGTACTGTCACAAATTTAAGTAATTATTAGAAATAATTAGAGTAAAATATTGAAATTGTAATTGATCAACACTAACAGGGAAGCTGACAATACCCAGGAACAGTCAACTTACCCAGAACAAGAAGTTGAAAGCAATGAGGAGATATCGGGAACACGTGGCGCACATTCCTTCTGCCATCTTGGAATGTTGTCGTGTAACTCTGGAACAAGAAGACAGACATTTCTGACAACCATGGCATGATACGATATCGGAGACATTGTGACTGTTCCACATATTTAGCAGAAACGTAGTACGGTTTGAATTATTGGGATGACGTTGATGTCGGGACCCTGGAAATATCCCCGAATACTATGACGAGTCCCAACACACAGGTCAATTCTTCACAATGTAAAGTGTGCATGTCATTCTACATTCGCATTTACGTTAAGAAATATCTTACAAAGATTAATGTTGGCAAGAACTTATTTATTAGAAAAAGATATATTATTTTTAAACATAATATAGTGCCAATGTATCTGATATGGAGGAAAAAAAATCAAACATTCCGTTTATTTTTTCATAATGCTGGTTATTAATTAACATAAAATATGTGTATCTCTATACAACCACTCACTATTTTTTTCCGTTTTTTTTTTTTTTTTTCCATTAATTCTGAATTCTGCATAAGCCGGGATGCAAAACATCCACCAATCATAACAGAACAGAAAGTGCTATTGACGTGAAGGGACGAGATTTAATCATAAGCGCGGTTACTACGGCAACAAAACGTCAACCAATCAATTGAAATGTAAAGATACTTTTGTGTCTTTTGTCATTGCCTTTAAACATGTTATTGAATGCGTCGTCTTTAATGTTGCTTTAAACTAATGATTAATCAAAAACTAATACCTTGGTCCGAATTTTGATGACAGCTTATATAGATTACCAAAATGAGATTTCCATCAATCAAATATGGAATAGGCTGGTCATGGATGTGTATGTTCGGACCAAACATTTCAACAAGAAGAAACAACGACGACGACGACGACGACGACGACGACGACGATGATGATGATGATGATGACGAAGACAACAACACAACAAAGAAAACAATATCAAAAACACAACAACCATTACCAACAACAGCAACAAAACAACAGCCATTACCATCAACGAAAACAAAAACAAAACCTCCACCATCAGCAACAGCAACAAAACCTACAACAAAACCACACCACTAACAACAATGACGACGCCAACAACAAAAACAACATCTAAAACAACAGAAAGTTAAAGCCGTAATTATATTTCTAAATATATGGAATATAATAAAAAAAAAGCAATAGAAAGAACCAGTTGTTCCAGAAGCGTAAGAACTTTTTGCTGTCACACAAAGATTGGTAAAAGCCAAATGTCAGAGAAGAGACAACAGAGTAACAAAAACAAATCTTAGACGACAACTTTCACATGTAAGATGTCCAAAAGGGTGTTAGTATTGAGAACAAAACCTTGAAGGTCGAAGCAGTTACAATAAAAAAGTGGAGTATTCACAATAAAAAAATCTGTAAGCCTAGTGATAAGCTTAAACTGTTTATCATTATGGATCGAGGACAGATGAACAGTGGTTTATTAGACTCTTAATCTTAATTAAAATGAAAACATTTTTGAAAACCCATGAAAATATAACGTTTTATGGTAGTCACGATCTTTCACGATATGTAGTCAAGTATAGTTTATGGCTACGAATGTATACATGTATTTGTGGAATAACCTCTTGAAACAAGAGAATAAAGATGTTCTATACTGAGTGATCAACAAAATCAACAAAAGAGAAAATATGGACAAAAGAAAAATTACTCGGCGACCATTAAAAAGTACAGAAAGAGATTTACATATAAACCATTACAAAAAGTATAAGAAGAAGACCAGGTGTTCCGGAAGATCAGTGTCTACTTCTATGTCAATTCAATCAAGAATTGGTCGATCAATATGCTAAGCCACCGATGAAATGTTAAGATGTATTCTTGTTTGGTTTAGGAATCCAATATAAACGTAACCAATCTCTATTTTATCAATCACATCAACTCTAAATCATGGTATATTGATTAAGTAATTCGATTTTCATAAGCGTCAACAAATGTTTCGTTAAAATTTATTTCTAGACACAATTACATCAATATTATAAAGTGGAGTGCTGTTCAGACTTGGTTCAAGTTTATAAAAAGACGTTCACAGACTTCTCCAATTCTGAAAATGAACCATATGCAGCATCCATGCCTTCGGTTTGCCGTCCCTGACAAAGTATTCGTCGGATTCAATTAGTTTCGTTAAACTCATATACTATTTAACAGAATGAGGCTCTGTTAATTTCTGTGGCTTTAAAATTGGGCTACTGTTTAGATCGCCATTAGCAACGTGTCCAGCTGGGCACTAGCTGAATGGCAATGTTAAACAGAAACCATGCGGAATACCTCGGGCCTATCTTCCATAAAAAGATGAACATGCGGAAGTTGTTATAAGATTATCTAAATTTAGCTGTTGCACGAATGGTTTGTTATTTAAACAACCTTGTGTGACTCAAATAAAGCCTGTCGATTTGTCATTTGTCTGAAGAATGTGTCAGTGTATATCCATCGAATCTTCACACTCGAAGTTCTCATGGTTCTAATGTACGAAAATATAATCGCATTGGTTAACAACTGACTTTTTTCTTCAGTTCATTTGTTTGTTTGTTTGTTTGTTTGTTTGTTTGTTTGTTTGGAGTTTAATGTCAAAAACAAATGTAATATGAAAACGATTTTCCTGGATGACAGAAAAACTTAAGGCCACTTTTGCTGCCAAATGTTACATCCTGAACAAGGACTTTGGTAGCATGACACCCGTAATTTGTATTTTACGTAATAGGATTGGTAGATATCATTCTTACCTTCATCATGAAGTGGCTGAAAATATCAGATTTCTTATACATATATTCAAGTATATATTTAAGGGTTTAGTGGACAGCGGTAAGGTCGGAATTCTCCTTAAAACACGAAAATATAAATACTCATATAAACAAGAATGATAAGAATGTTCTGCAGAAATAGGTTTGGATACCAGTGTAGACCTGAATATGTATTGTCATCATATCTGTCTTAAATAGTTCTTCTTTTCGAAATGTTGGGTTCAGATAAAATAAGGATTAGACATTTTCTGTGGTACATGTATAAGCTGTTTGTATAAATCTCTTGATATTACAGAGTGATAGCTGAGCGTTTGTTGTAATGGAGAACAAAAATAATTAGATGGTAGAACTTAGCAAAAACCACGGTAAAACTAGAGTAAGTCGACCACAGACTGGAAGCATTGGAAAATATCTATTTTGACTCAATAGGATTACCAGTACAATGATCTTACATTGCGCTTTCGATCCGTTTAGTCCGTTCATCAGCCAACTTTCACAAAAGGTACAGAAACTTTCAACACATATATGGTGTCTATGTTTTTAATCTCGTGCGTAGTATTCTTTAATGGCGGGGACAGAGAAATATTTGCTACTTTTTGTGTATATTGGTTCACAAGCGAAGTCCCGATTATTAAATAGTTATTTCTTTACTTTCTGTTGCTTAAATCTTACAGCGGAAATTCTTCATGTGTAAATCATATAAATTATTTTCTTTGTGAAAAAAAACCCAATATCCACTAATTGTAATCTAAGCAAATAACAAACTATGGAGCTAGAAAACTAAATATTCTTCATTGTCGTCTGAGAAATCGAGCGATCAATACTAATTATGATATCATCAGAGTAAATATGCTGAGTGTCAATGTGGACATCTATGTGAAGTTTCTTATCATTTCTTGTTTACCTGTCCTTTATATGATATTTTCCGAAATACACTAAACGGAGAAATAGTATAGTACGATAGGGATATAGACAACACAAAGTTTGTGCAAGTTGTAAAGGATTTCCTGGGGAGGTCGGGTAGATTCTACACATGTACTGCTAAACACGATATATAGATTGGCTATTCTTGTCATATTTCACATACTGATGTTTAATCAAGTGATTATCGTTACTTCATAATTGTATATCTGTATGTAGAGAGAGGTCACTTATATGTTGGTAAAACTTACTGACCAATCCTTTTAACATTGCAATATGACAATAAAATATGTTTAAACAAAACTTCATATGTAAACCTTGATAATGTTTATGCTTATTGAAATTCGATTTACCTTCTGGGCAGTGTTTCGGTCACTTCCGGGACAACAAAACAGATGAAGCCGAGATATGCACGACTTTCAAAGTTTATGCAAGTAGTCGGCACTAGTATTTCCGGAAGTGGACCAAAAAATGTCGTTGAACATGAAATACGGTAAAAAAAGAAAGTTTTATGTTGGTGTTTATGTACATATATTCCCAACAGCTAGCACACTGATTTAGACACTTAAACTACTTCATTATACATAGCAATCATGAGACTTACTTCAAACTACTGCTATAGGGTAATTACATTGAGTCTGAAGTGTCAAAATAGCGTTTCGAATTTAATACACAAGAATATTTAACTGAAATAGCATTTCATATACTCAATGATATAGAGAAAAAGGTTAACTTTCTGAAGGTATTAGTGTTAAGAAACTAACAGTGTTATTAAGTTATTGTAGATAGTTTTAAAGAAAGAAGACACGCCCTAGCATTCCTGGAATCATTTTAACGTAGATATTGCTCTAGAATGATTATCTAAGTGGATATTTTTTTATAAGAAAATGATTTGTGGAAGCCTTAAATTGATTGCAACTTTTCTGTGTGTGAGTGTTTTTTTTTCAATTTTACACGTATTATATTTTGGCTCCATACACCTTAAGGTGTGTATACACTCAAACCGGTTAACTTCAATGTCTCCAGGTCTGTAGGTGATAGAAAGCGTCCGATAGATAATGTTACTAGTATAGGTAGACATTGGTTGTGGTCTCCTGTCAGGAGAGTAAAACAACTGTCCTGTAAGTTATTGTGGCGGTAGGCCAAGGGAAGTGAATGTCCGGTAAAATATCGATGTTGTCCGCTAGGGGGCGTGACTGTTTGTTTCAGTGTGTTATGGGACTTGACGTTGACCTGTTGGATACGTCGCCAGAACGATGACGTTCGTCGGTGAGACGATACCCAAACACGGGAGGGGTCGCGGAGACAGAAAACCTGTCAACCAACCAACCAAGACCAGCATGGAGGTGGGAGGT